GCGGGGAACGTTGGAGTCCTCCGTCACTGAAGCAGCAAGCCTCATGTTAGTTTCAAGCTGCCTGGCTGCTGGCCGCCATCTTGGCTGGAAGTTAATTTGCATATCTCACTGATTAGCCAATGGGCAGGGTAGCGGTTATACGCCCATTACCATGTTTCTCTTTTATTAGATAGGATACTTTTATTGGCCCTTAATATATATCTATTTCTTTATTTTGATGCACAAATCAATCTCCCAGTGACTCAATTTTCCCACATGGGACGAATTTTGAACTTTGTGGGCAAAAGGATTTTAATGACTTCTTAAAAAGGAGAAAAATCAAAAGCTGTTTCCCTTCTGAAATCTAAATTCATCAGTCCCTTTAGTATTATAAATGGTTCTATAGATATTACATTTCATTGATCTGTCATATGTCAAGTTGAATTGTCAATTAAAAAACTCAGATTTTGATGAATACTTGCCATACTTATTACAATTTTTATAGCTGCTCTCAACAACTAGGACCATAGACACAAAAGATGCATGAAATATTTGGCTTAACAATTAAATTCATGGCTGTGTCCCTAGGTCATTCCAGTGCCAGGTCCTTCCTCAGCATCATAAGCCTCACTATTCTCTTAAGAACTGGTTAAGCCTTAGGTTTTAGGACACTGATGAGGTGATGGCTTTGCTTCTCACTGATGATGACCCTGCTTTGGATAGAGCCTCTCTACAGCACTATAGACATGGCTGTCCAGTGACAGCAATAACATTCAATCTGAGGTCCTCACAAAGTTGGGAGCACTTTGGCCCTTGTAGGGATTGTAAGGGCAAAACCAAAAATAGAGGAATTTTTTATTGCAAAATTTTTATGAAATTTTTTAGCCTACGCTTACTGTGCCATGAATGTGGCAGGAAAGAACAACTAAACTCAGCCTGCCAAAGTATAGCCTAGATATGAAAACCTTATTTCCAGAGAAACACAAGGTGGTGGTGATCACTGTTATGGTTGGAATGGTGATTGGGGACCGCCCAGGAGAAGCTGTTGATATTAGCAATCCCTTTTGTTTAGTCATTTTGTGTCTCTTTCCTTACAGTTTCCCTGAAAAATAAGTAATGGTGAAGTTTATACCAGGACCAAATTGTGGGCTCAGAAGCCATCAGGGTGTAGATGGACTTTTTAAGGGAAAGGGGCAAGCATTTACAGTTACCCGAGTCGTGCTTTAGTAAGAACACTTTGCTTTTGTCAGTCTGTGGCTTAGACAACAGACTCCCTGCACCCACTTTGGGTCCCTGAGCTATACACATGAAGGTGATCAAGGAAAAATCCTGTATTTGGGATAGCTGAGATTCTCTTAGGTCCTTTCTCTGCCCATTTGTTTCATGACAGCAGCACCAGCAGAATAAATATCTTGATAAAGGTAAATACATGGCCAATTATAACTGATAATGTTATTGTAACAACAGTCTGTCATTCCACTTTTTGTTTTCAACTATATTTAAGAGGTCAACAACTAAAAGCCATGAAAATGGCTTAAATGAGAAAGTATTTGTATGTTATTGACGTTGAACTGGTTTAAATTTAAATTAGGGTGTGATCATTTTAGGATGTTAAATATAATTACCATGGTAACCAAAAATATAGTAGCTATAAGATATACACAAAAGGAAATGATTGGAGCATTAAAATCTTTTAGTACAAAAAAGTCAACTAGACATGAAAGAGGGATAAAAAACTATAAGGCATGTAGAAAACAAATAGCAAAATGATAGAAGTAATTCCTCTTTATAAGTAACTAACTGGTGCACGAAATTTGTACACTTGGGTGGGGGGGTGTCCCTCAGCCCCGCCTGTGCCTTCTTGCAGTCTGGGATCCCTCAGGGAGTGGGCCTAAGCCATCAGTCAGACATCCTTAGTGCTGCCATGAAGGCGGGAGAAGCTCCTGCCACCACCGATGCGCTTGCCAGCTGTGAGCCTGGCTCTGTGTTAAGTGTCTGTCCCCTGGTGGTCAGTGCACATCATAGCAACCAGTCATTCTGCCATTCAGTTGATTTGCATATTAGCCTTTTATTATATAGGATTACTCTACATGTAAATGAATTAAAGTCTATCATCAAAAGGTAGAAATTGGCAGAATTTATTTTAAAACAAACATGTTAAAACTACATGGTGTCTACAAGAGACTTACTTTATATTCAAAAACACAAATAGTCTGAAAGTGAAATGGTGGAAAAGATGTTTCATGAAAAGTTACGAAAGGAAAGCATGGGTGGATATATGAATATCAGACAAACTAGACTTTAAAAGTCACAAAAGTTACAAAAAGCATAGAAAGGCATTATATATTAAGAAGAGATTCAATGTAGAAAGAAGTATAGTAAGTGTAAGCATTTATGCACCTAACAGAAATTCAAAACATACAAGGCAAAAATTGAATAGACATGAAAATAAACAGTTCTATTACAATAGTTGGAGACTTCAATATCTCACTTTCAATGATGGATAGAAAAATCAGGCAGAAGTTAATTAAAGAAATAGAGGAGTTGAACAATGCAATAAACCACTTAGGTCTAACAGTGCTTCTATAAATAACAGCAGAATACACATTCATCTCAAGAGCACATAGGACATTTTCCAGAATAGAACACATGTTAACCAAAAATTAAGTCCTAATAAATATAAAAAGATAGATACCATACAGAGTACCTTCCCTGATTAAAATGGATATAGTTAGAAATCAGTAACAGAAGTAAAACTGGAAAGGTAACTAATTTGTGGAAATAGACAACACACGCTTATTCAACCAATAGATCAAAGAAAATCACTTGAGAAATTGAAAAACATTTAGAGACAAATAATAATGATAACACGACATACCAAAACTTATGGGATACAGTAAAAGCAGTACTAAGGGGGAGGAGGGAATTAAAGGTATAAATATTTACATTAAAAAAAGAAAAAAATCTCAAATAAAAAAATCTAACTTTTTTTTCCCTAATCTAACGAACTAGAAAAAGGAGAACAAACTGAACAGAAGGAAGTAAATAATGAAGATTAGAGTAGAGACTAGAAAGACAATAGAGAAAATCAATAAAACCAAAAGCTGGTTATTTGAAGTGATCAATCAATTGACAAACCTTTAGCTAGCTTGATTAAAAAAAAGAGAGAAGGCACTAATATTGAAATGAGAAAGTTATTTACATAGACTCTTTCCTTGGGATAATCCCAGAAAAGAGATTACTACCAATTCTGTAGGAAACAGATAAAAGAGGGCACTATGAACAGTAGCACACCAACAAATTAGATAACTTAGATGAAATGGACAAATTCCTAGGAAAACAAAATCTGCAAAGGCAAAATCACAAAGAAAATTATTTTCGACCTACAGTCAGTAAGGATATTTAATTAGTAATAAAAAATGTCGACCAAAAAACAAAACAAAACCAAAAAACACCCAATGCTCTACTGTTGATTCCTACCAAGCATGGAAGAACTAACACCAATTCTCAAACAATTTAAAACAATTGAAGAGGAGAAAATTCTTCCTCACTCATTCTATGAGGTTAATATACTGATACCAAAAATACATAATGACACTACCAGAAAGGAAACCTATTGACCAATGTCCCTGATGAATATCAATGCAAAAATCTTGAATAAAATACCAGCAAACCAAATTTAGTAGCACATTAAACGAATTATACTCTATGACCTTTCATGACCAAGTGGTGTTTATCCTATCTAATAAAAGACAAAAATGGTAATTGGCGTACGACCAATACCCTTTTCATTGGCTAATCAGGGCTATATGCAAATTAACTGCCAACTAAGATTGGCAGTTAACTGCCAACAAGATGGTGGTTAATTTGCATATGTAGGCACAATGCAGGGAGGCGAAAGGGAAAGCAGGAAGAAGCCCCCTGCCACTGACAGTGCCCTTGCCCAGGCCTGAAGCCTGGGTCAGAGGCGTCAGGCTTGGGTGGGGGGGTGGAGCAAGCGATCAGAGGGAGATGGGGGTCCCCTGCCCAGGCCTGATGCCTGGGCCAGAGGCGTCAGGCCTGGGCAAGGGGCCGATCCTGCGATTGGAGGGTGATGGGGTCAACGCCTGAGGGCTCCCAGTATGTGAGAGGGGGCAGGCTGGGCTGAGGGACACTCCCCCCACACACACACCAAGTGCACGAATTTCGTGCACCGGGCCCCTAGTTCTTAATAAATGTAGTATAGACTAAATTAATCAATGTAGTATAGAATAAATTAATAGAATAAGGGAGGAGCACATGATTTTCTGTAGCTATG